ACCCGTGTACAAGCTAATCACGTGCAAGGGATAACGAAGGATTAATGTAATCGCCCATTTATAGGTTGAGTATCGGTTGCTCTGATATTTAAAGCCGACGAGTAATCTCGGATCTTGTAATCAACTCAGCCCTCCATGTACGTTTCCCGCGTGATATTCTCCTTTCGCGTTATCGCGATCTCGTCCCACAATTTTGCCTCAAACACCGACTGTCGGTATATTTGAAATAATTCGCTGTTGACATACACTAGGCCGAATTGCTGACGCTAGTGTTACCTCGAATGCCAAATCAATTTTTATCGCTTACAATTAAATTTCTCCTAGGAAATTGTGATTGCGCTATCACGTCAAATGGTCTCACGAAGCTTACTTTAATTTCATCCTCGCAAATGGCATGCTTTCTATGCAAGTATAGCGCGAAGCATTCCAACCGTGGGATGAACTTAATGCACGCTCACTTTTCCGCCATCTTGTAATGGCGGATAATCGTCGCGCGCTAGCGTGCACTTGTGTATATAGTAGATACGTTTTATCGTGATAGCTATAGTATATTTGACGTTTTTCATTACCAGTAGCTGAGCAAATTAAGATTTAATGGTGCCTCATATTTGTTATCGCCTTTTCGGTAACGCAATATATACGTCACTGAATCATTTCGATATATATATATAGAAATATTTCACCCATTCTATTTGCATATTTGGTGAAAAGTTTATGGAAATTCTTTATCACAATGATCGCGTACGTATATCCGAATTTGTCATCCATCATATTGGATTTATCTCGAATAGCCTTTACAATTTCGAGGTTAACAAAGGTATGCGTGGTGAATTTACGAATGCGTAAATCCGTGATCTCTTGTTTGAAATTTCGAATACTGGACCATAGCCGATTCAATGTTTACAATTTTTGATTAATTAACGAGGTTATGTATAAATTTTTAGTTCACTTTTGACTCTGCAAAGGTAATTATAGAAAATATAAAATTTTCTCGCGAATATCCAACTGACTTGACATTTTCTTTTGCTCGCTCGTTGAACATAATATTTGTCGTTGCGGAAATGAAATATGCTTTTCTTCTAACAAGAATTCCTCTTTTTCTCCCTATTTGCCTATGTTTTCGACACGTTTTCATTTATTCACGCTATATTTAATATTTTTGCAGCTTCTGCCACAAAACCGCACACGAACTCGTTGCAAATGCAGTGTTGACGCAACCATGCGAATTCAAAGCCTTTTTCATTATTCGTATCGTTTTATTCACGAAACTTTGTGCTATTTGATGTTTCAATATTTAATGAAACGTTACTTTTCGTCTTTCTTTTCTTCGAGAATTTATTACACTTTGGTCTCCTGTTTTATGGCCGAGATAAAGCAAACAGCAAGTCACATAAGCTCCATTGATCTCTTCCTAAATCCTGTTTTTCTTGCAATGACGACGTATGACAGAGAATAAAACCACGCAAGAGTTCTTATCCGTGGACTGTAATGGTCCCAGCGAATGATTAACGATCGATAAGACTTTTTCACTCGACAGTCATGATCGTATCAAATGTTTGTTGTTCTACGAAATTTCCACGAAGAGATGAATAAATCGATCGACCTGTTGTTTTGTTATCGAACTCAGGATAGAGTATAACTCGAAGCGAACACATAAATCGAAGGTTACAGTTGATTGGACTTTTTTAACAGATACAGCATATGACGGATTTTCCGGGAAAGCTGCAATAAAAATGGATCAGCTTAACAAATTGCTATGCTTGTTGTGTATTGACAACTTGTTGCGTACAGACCGAATACTTCGTGGAATTGAGTACATAATTATTCATAGAATCGTGGACTTTAAATCGTATAATGTACAAATAGAGTATATCTCTTGGTATAAACTGTTTTCATAATTCGATTTATTATTCTAGACTCGAGACAGAGTCCAATCAATTTACAGCAAGTTTGGTGGTAACCTAGGCGAGAAACTTTGTGGTAACACTATATAGCGAATGATATAACTTGGTTGGTAATTATTTTGGTCTCTGCAACAGCAGACTGTTGCTACTACATAGTTCCTCTTCTTGCACGATGATAGTTCAAAGACAACTTGTCAGTAACTGGGGAATAAATCCAATTTAGCACTTGCAATATATATAATTTCTTATATAGAACTGTGGAGGTCCCAAATTCAATTTAGCACTTGCAATATATATATTTCTTATATAAGAATCGTGGCCGGTCCCAAATCTAATTTAGGCACTTGCAATATATATATTTTCTTATATAGAACTGTGGGGCCCAAATCCAATTTAAAACACTTGCAATATATAATACTTCTTCTATAGAAATGTGGGGGTCCTTCTCCCCCTTCCTTTGGGGTTGGTGGTCAAGCTTGTCGCAGGTATCCTCGTGTGGAGGTAGTGTGCTAGAAGGGATGAAAAAGGAAACGAGGAAGGGGATGCACGTTCTCGTCCTGGGCCTGCTAGTGGACTCATAGTAATGAGTACCTATTGGGCCCCGCCTTGGACCGAGATACTATTGCAACGTTGGGAAGTTGTATATATAGGAAGCGGAGGTTTACCGAGGACTTGCGAGAAAGTCCTCGAACCTTCTTGCAGTTGGGATCCATCTAGTGGCGAGAGTGAGAATGATGGACTCTATAGAACGATTTATTTTTTCCAGTAAATATATAGCTCTATTCGCCCTTTGTCCCTTTTTCATAACAAGATATGCGGAAAAAATATTCGCTCCCGATATTCAATTTCGAAGGCACTCGATTGTTGGGAGCACAATCAAGCAAGAGTCAAACTTGTTTCGTTTCGATATACAAAGTAGAGCGTATGATTGGTGAACAATGAACTAAAGGTACAATGAAATCTTTATTCGAAGAGAACAGAATTGGGTGGTAGTTTATTCAGCCACGGTGTGTGCACTGTAAATAATTTCTTTTCAGAGAAACTACGAAGAGAATATCTCGATTCGCTTTTAATGATCGGTAATAGCAAGTAACTCGTCGATAATACCTTTTTTTCTTTATCAAGTATAAATTTGAATTTTTCTCGAAACTTGATAAACAATATATTCGCGTAACCATTCGCAAACAGGTGGTAAGCCAACGAACATAATTTGCTTCGTTCCGTTGTTTCAACGCTTATTGGGGAATCGCTGTTCTCCATACTGTTTTGTTTGTTCAACAACCCCATAGACATGCATTCAACGGTTAATATCTCCCATTTTGTTTAGCATCATTATTCCCAAGTACACGATTATAATTTCTAAATCGATATTCAATACAGATTAAACACGTGTTGTAACATGGATTGCGGTTGTAACACAGTTTCGTTTTCACTCGTGTACCATCGTCTTTGCTGATTAAACGTTTATATTTGATCGTGTATTGACAGATAATCGTAGGCATTAGACTTCGCTAGCATTCGTAAACGTGAAATATTTTCCATTCGATACACTGTTGTAGATTCAAAGGTTAGAGAACAAGCGCAGTGCTTCGCGTATTCAGTGAGACAGTAATTTTCATTAAGAATAAGGAAAATAAGGGATATAATACCGTGGCGGCTAAGATTTCGACATAGCTATGCCTATGTCAGATGACTGGATAAATTAAGGCCGAGTATTTACCAGTCTTTCCCTTCGTAACATACCAACACTCACTGTAGGCTAACAGGACCAGAGCGCTCCACTATCGCGGTAGGCTGGCCATCGTGGGGGTTTCAGTGGATAAAAATCACGCATAACCTCACACCCTGCCCTAGGGGGGTCGGATATTTTTCGAAGATTTCCCCCACGTAAAAATAAATTAAAAAAAAACAAAAGGCTAACAGAAGACGTAAGGCATTGTCCTCGGGATGGCATTAGCTATCGTCAATGGGGTCTAGTTAGTTTGCAAGTCAGACCTCTTCACTCCTTAATTTATGACCCCTTCAGTCGCTATTGCACTCCAATAAATTTTAAAAATATCCTACAGTACTGACAAAAATTAAGAAATTCAAAGACTCATAAGGTGTCACGTTTTTCTCCCATTTTTAATTTTGATATAAGTATTTCAGAAGATAAAAAATATACAAAAAGTTTTTTAACCACTACACCAGTAAGTGCATGCTCAATTTTCGTCCTGACCTATCCCACTTTGGATAATTATAGCTTTAATTAATTATATAATTTTAGCAACCGCTCCATGTAATTTACTTTAATCGCTATAGATTAATTTGTAGTTTAATTATATTTTATGTTTACTGATTTTGCCATCGGATACGTGGAATATTATATTGGAATTAGAATATTATAGTGGAATATTATAATAACAACGATTGATCAAGCTGCTACGAATTTAAACGCGTATTCGATTCAAACAAAATTCGATTCACCTCTCCCGAAGCCTAATTGCATTTCCTTTACGTCACAGTTACACCTTCTCTCTATCCGAGTGTCTAATAAGATTTCAAGCTCGACATCGATTATCCGACCAATTTCCACCATGGCGAATTAAAATTGATCCATTTACGACATCTTCGAAGTAGTCTTCTTTGAGCAACGACCAGCCTAAGGTTCTCGTTTTAATTATGAGCTCGTTAATCTACATCTATCTAAACTTGAGTTTTAAAGGGAGCAGTTTTTAGAAAGGCGATATTAAATCAAGCTGTTTCGAGGAAAGGTGGTCAATTTATGGACACGGCGTAAAAAACTAGTGGTCTAATAATGAAACTTGTCTCACAGGATGGATTAGTCACGATAATTTTCTGTGAAATTCGCTTGTCAAGAGATTTTACTGGGAAATATTCATTAATATACTGCACAGCTTGGTCTAGGTCCTTGTAAGAGGGATATTTCACCATGGAAGCCCCCTAATGGTAATAATAATTAAATTTAGATAAAGGAGACAAAGCGAAACCGACGCGAATCTCAATTGTAACAGCAGTGAATCACGAGTTGGTCCAATTTGAAATTCGTGGTCCTTTTGTTCAATAAAACGATAGGAAGGTCAGAATCTTACTCACCTAATAGCGATGTATCTCCAAACGGCCAACGTGAGCGTGGTAGCGATACTGATCGTGTGCAACACCTGCGTGAAGTACATGTGGAACAGGACGTACAACGCGCCCTCGTAAGGAAATACCTGCCTCTTTGGCAGAACGATGTATTTGTAAATAGCGAATGGGATATACTCTAACATCACGAGCATATCGGCCGTGGCTAGACCCGTGAGAATTCGGTTTATGGGCGCAGCTGCCATGTCCTTCCTCGTTAGCATTTCAGCAGGTTAGCCAGAATACCGAACAGACAGACCACCAACGCCACGTAGCCGTGATAATTCTTGTACGTAGCAGCCCAGTCACGGATGGTCCCGTTGCAGTAGCAGCAGGTCTGGTTGCTGCTGGATTTTTGGATGGTTAGGTTATCGATGTAGTTGGTCACGTAATCGAGGTCCTCGTCGGTGATGTTTAGACTTCGGAAAATGCTCGTGTAGTTATCTAGCCTATCCATGATCGCTATACGATGTAGCAGGAGCTTTAATTGTTGCAGTGTTGCGTTCAGGCGCGTGCGGCGCAAAGTGTCCTCGTGGTGTGTGTAGCTGGGCATCACATTCCGAGGGGTGGCTGTATCGTTGCTCGGAGACAATTTTAATTTCCTAGTTGGCTATTGCAGCTTCTTGTCGACTTACAATCTTTGATAAAGTCAGGTCGGTATAAGTATCATAAATCTTCGACATCTTGTAATCTCTATAGAATCGAGGATAGTCTGATATGTTGCTTGGAAACCAAGAGTCTTATCCTCTAAGGCAAAGTTCTGTCAAAGGGAAAGTCTAAGAATCTTTTAATAAATGACAATGGTGGTATACTAGGATTGATCCATTTCTTGTAGAGAGAACGCAGTATAGAATGATTGTCGCTGGAACCTGGCGCAATTTCTTCACAGCTGCAGGTTAGCAATTCTCTGTCACTTTTACAATTGAACGTGCACTTGTTGTTCCCGTTGGGATTATGACCTCTTCCGGATCACGAATTTTCTTCTCTGTCCAGGCAGATTAGTCCGCTGGGCGTTGCCTCGTATTTACTGCGTTGTGCACAATTTTACGATTCAGAAGGACACGTCCGATTTATGAGGCACTGGGGACTTATTCGGGGATGCTGGACACGTCGCTGAGGATTCGTCTGTCAACCGGGTGGACATCGTTCTTGAGCAACACTGCATCCTTCTAACTTTTCTTATCGCCATGGGAGAACCAGTTCCCCACGCTCGATAGCATATTGCTATCGATTTCACATCCCATTTGGAAAATTGACTTTGGTAACTGAAACTTGTTTCAGAGGCATTCAACGCTTTGGTATTGGATATTTCCAGATCGTTTGCCGTGTTTCTTCCACGTTCATCGGTTAATCACGCATTCTGCATTCCTATTTAGCATCTTGGAGGCTATTAGGGTCTTTAAAAATCTCTGAATCACTTCGTGACCTGCTGAACGATCCGTGGTCTAACCGAGAAATCTTAAACGTCTGTTCGTGAACCACTGCTGGTCCATTCGTGTTCCATAAATTAGCTCGAGGACTTGGTCCGCTGCGTCCAGTTCTGTAGGATGGATTCACTTTCACGAACAGGCTTCTTCGACTGATTCATCCATCTTTTCTTTCAGTCGTTCATCTGAAAAACCGACCAACCCTCGACTCACCTTCCTTTATCCCTTCCGCTTACGTCTCATCCAAGCCTTCGACTTTTATTCTCCAGCTAGATCTTCCCAAATACTTCGCAATCTGGAAATCTCTTTGGAAGCTGTTCACGTATTCTGTTCTTTTAATCCCATGATATCGTATACCATTTCGATGCCAGTCCTTTCGCTAAGGATAATCCTACGAGTCACGATCAAGGCATTAACAGCGGATCGTGACAAATTGGAGATCGTATAGGGGGTGACGGTTCGTCGATCGAGAACCGATTCCGTTCACGGTCATGTCTCGAGCCACCCTCACGAGCCGGTGTTAAGGCCGGCGATTCGACCAGGAGATTATGGAATTTCGACCGTATAAGCTGTCCACAATCTTCCGTGATATCCTTTCCGACTTCTCCGGGATTCCCAGTGGATGTGAACTGGACCTGGAAAAGATTGTTTGCGTTCGTTCAATCGTTATTACTGCCTGGAAATGCTGATTTCTCCTTTTCTGCCTGTGTTGATCAAAGTGTAGTGTCGTGGTGGTTGTAAATGGGAATCAAGGGTAAATACATCAGCAAAGTTACAAGGCTTACTCGTGGAACTCTTCGATGAGAGCTTAAGTGTTAAGTCTGTTTAACTTAGGGGATCTTGACTTTGCTAATAAGCTTGAATTGCTGCTTAGATAATGGTTATTTATGTTTCTAATAAGTTGGCAATGGGAGAGATGCTAGTCTAATTGACTGTGGTATAATAGATCTAATTTCTCTGATACAATTGTAACATTGTAGAGAGTACATAGAATACTTAGACAAAATGACGAACACGAATCTACGTATAATACATTAACTGATTAATTAACTATTGTAGAATTAATACTAGATTAATCCTATGTTAACAGAGATCTACGCGTCCAACCACATGTACTACAAATGATATCCTAAACGCTTAAACCGAACCTGATACCCCTTAATTCTTTGACTATGGCAGACTTTGACACGTATTGGTCGTATCATACGGCAGGAATTGAGTTACGATGTGCTCCGAGATCGGTGAATTTTTGGATTTTTGGATAGTGAAAAGTTTGCTTTGTGAAAACATAAAGCAAACTGCGTCGAGCGCTTATGGGCGCCGTCCGTGTCAGAAAGCCGAACTGCGTCGAGCGCCTATAGGCGCCCTTCGTGTCAGAATATCGAACTGCGTCAAGCGTTTATAGGCGCTCACAATAGCCAAGAGGTTAATACTGTTTCCTTTGCCAGAGTCCTTCCCAGCTCACAAAATCACGCTATTTAACAAGAAACAAAAGTAGCGTCGATTAATTTATTCGATTATCACTCTTCCTTATTCGTTTTTATTTTCTACTGTGCAGAAACGTGCCCACACAGTGTGCAGAAATTCAGCTTACGGTTTCGCTTACGGCTAATCTCGACCGCGCGAGTTTAGTCTCAAAAATGGCGCCGTTATCGCAGACCTCAGCAGTTTAGTTAGCAACGAAACACACGACAAGAACGAACGTCCGAAGATTACGAGAGCGTAAATTCGAGTCGTATTTTCATGGCGAAATAATTTCGTGCAGCATCGTAAGTGAAGCATGGAGAATGGTTTATGCGATACAGGAAGGGTAATGTGCAGAGGTTAATAAGGTTCAGCATACTCGCGTTATTTCATTGTATCGTAACAACAACGTCCACGTGCTTCTTGTATTCCTTTTCTAAATATTATGACGAATTCGTGAAAGGTAAAAGCCATAGATGAGAACCCATAGAGAGATGGAATTTATGTGCAATCGTGCTGAAAATTTCGATGCTGCGCTGAACAAACAATATTGCCAACGTGTGTGCCTCACCGAGCAATCTGACGTTAAAACATGCACGAAAACCGAATCGCAACGTGGATATGCAGCATAATGGGATTAACGACACGCTGCGTTTATTTCATTAACGCCTTGAAACAATTTGCACACGAAGCTTTCGTTTTTATTCAAAATTGTCGAAGTTTGAGGAGCAAAAAAGATTGATGGGAAAAACTTGCGGCGGGACGTAAGTTTTGAGATTGGAAGGACTTGAAATTGGAAAAGTAATCTCCTTACGATGTTTGCATTTTTATGACATCGAAGTATCATTGTCTTAGTCGAGAACGGATACGTGGCCAAGGGGGTGAGCTTTAGTCTGTTTTTCTTCGCCGTTTCGAGGAGAGAAGGTTTTACGAGTGGATGAATTTGGAGAAAGAAGAGAAGAATAACGATGGATCATTTTTACTCTTTGTTCCGTTAAGTGTAGAAAAGAGTTCTGTATTTTTACGAAGAATATTCTATTGTAGATGAAAATATTAAGCGGTTTCTATTTTATGAACCTTTTTATTTCATATAATTTTAGCTTTGGAATTTTTATTTATTTTAACGTTAAATTGACACGTTTCAGAGTTCTTATTTTTACTGTTTTTGACAGCTTACATGTTGCTTTTGAAGGAAATTAATTATAAATACGTAAGCACTTAATTATTTTTAGTATAATATTTTAATTATTATTGTGGACGTATATAATATTTCTTGCTAATTTAAAAAGGTCGTAAGAAAAGTAAATTATTTCAGTAATTTTATTACAATATTTAAGTTACGCTGAGGGAAAATGAAATGTTACAAATATATAAATGTGTAAATTTATGTATATTCTTTAGGTCATTTCGTACAGAATACTACGGAGCACGCCACTTTGAAATTAAATGTCAGTATTATATGCGTTGGTAAAATTTTCCAGCTTGATATAACGTTATGAACAATAAAATTAAAAGCGAAGGTAAAATTCAAAGCAAAATTACTTTGCTTTCGCACGGCTGATAATTATAACCATTTATTTTCCTGTATTTTTAGCAATATGTAATTGTGTATGCTCCAAGATTCGCGTGAAATGCAAATTTTATTACTTTGTTATAAACATTTACCATCGTCGATCATCGATTTTCACTTATAACAAAAGATCCACCACAATAGAATCATAAATTATCTACAAACAATATTATTTAAATATTTTAAAAAGCACATAGGCGAAAATCACAATACTAGATACTGTCCACACAGTCCACCATACCTCTAAAACAAGATTTTTCCATATATCCCTCATAAAACATTCAAATTTTACAAAAATAAAAATGTTCGTTTGAATAGCGTAAGATTCCCGTATCCCCACTCTTCTAGTCTAACCTTCCCCCGCCCAACCCAGGACGAATTCGGGCCTCAGTGTCACCGAGACGTTCAAACCGATTAGAGGTCGGACGTTACGCGTTTAGTGATATCGCGATTTCAGTAACAATTTTGCATTTATACTATCATATCTCGATACCGTGTGCTATATTAATAACTCCTCGTGATTAATCGCACGTGTGTACGCGAACACGCGTTAGTTTTTTTATTTTATTTTTTCATTTTTACTTGGTGCGTGTCTACGTTCCTGGATCCGAGAATTGGTGATGGTCGCCGCCATATTGAATACCGGATGATGCGCAGCTGTTCTTCGAACGGTGAGTCTCGTGCTTTCTATTTTTCCGGTGTCCAATCATGTAGAATGAAAGGACACTGGGTATTATTTTTGTATATTACTATGGCACTTGTGTGCACTTGAAATTTGACAATATGGTTTATTTAAATTATGTACGTATTCGATTTCGTGCGGTATAAATACGTTTTCGATCTTTTTTCGAGGAATATTTTAATTAATTCGGTTTAAATAAGAAAGAATGCAGGAAAGCATTCCTCGAGGAGTAAATTTAAAAATCGAAACGAGATTTTAATATTAATTATAATATTAATAATGTTCAGCTCACCAGATATTTATAATTATATATTAATATTATAATTAAATATAATGGTTATATTTAATTCTTTTAAATAATCGTTTCGAATTTGGAATCACTCGAGTGTGCTAATTATAATTAAAGGCTT